AAAAAAAAAAAAAAAAAAAAAAGACCACACAGATGGAGTAACTCCGTCCGAACACTCAGGTGTCCCAGGCCCCCAAGCCTCGGTACCCCCTGACAGGCCTAACGAAGTCCAGCATTCCCGGTGGTAAACATCTGTTCAAGGCAAAACCGTCCCCACCCTATTTGAGCGCCACTTCCCACACAATGACTGTTATCTTTGTGGCACCCTCTTTGGGTGTCGTGGCAAACTGGTGGTATACCAAAATGGTGTGGTTTGGAGCCCCTGAACAGGCTTAACTGTTGCCCAGTAGCCTGGGCCTCTGGGTCCCAACTTTCACGTTAGCAGGAGGCATCTCATCTTCGTCCTGATCACTGGAGGAAACCATCCAGGAGGTTCTGCAAAGACACCAACTCCTGGCAGAGTGATGGCGTCACCGCCAGCGCTTTGGGGAAGGCCAAGGCGGGGCGCGATGACTTGATTCCCAGTGAGTTCAAGGACGCCAGCCCTGGCCACAGGGGGAAACCCCGTCTCTAGCTAAAATACAAAAATTAGCCCGCAGGGTGGAAACTGTTAGTCCCAGCCACTCGGGAGGCTGAGGCCCAGGAGAAAATCACCTCCGAAACCCAGGATGGTCGTGACTCAGGTGCGTAGGTTATGACAGCGAATGCAAGAAAGATATGTTAGGTCGCCATGCACTCCAGCCTGGGGTTGACAACAGCGAAGAATACTCTGTCGCTCAAAAAGATAGAGAAAAAAAAAAAGAATAGAAAGACGCAATATAATGACAGTCCGAATTCCATGTACCCGTGACTAACGATCCAAGCGTCAAAGGTGATCCACAACACCTAGGGGCATCTCCCTAAACCTATTGAGACGATAATTATTTGTATGCGTTTTTCGCGTAAAGGCAAATCTCTGATATTATATTTTTTCTTTTTGAGATGGGACCTAGTGCTCGCTCTGTGAGCCCGGTAGTGATGAGGATGTTGCTGCAGTGAGACCAAGATCTGATTGTGCCACTGACTCTCAACTGTCCCTTAGCTGCAGCCCGCGCTCCCGGGTTCACTGTCGCATTTCTGTCCTCGCCTCAGCCTCGCGCGAAGCTAGCATTGCTACAATGGCCGCCCGCCACCTCGCCCGGCTGGTTTTTTGTATTTTTTGTAGAGACGGAGCAAGATGTGTGTTTCAACCGTGTTAGTCTAAGGCTAAAAAAAAGTGCTACAGGATACTCAACCTGACTGTGATTCGCTCCGTCCAGACCTCCCATATAAATTGAAGTGCTTGGTGTTTCTATCGGCTGTGTAGCCTACCGCCGCCACGCTGTGCACGCTCTCGTCCTAACCAACTTTTGTTTTTAAATAACGTATAGCTTTTCTAATAACAAAAAGCTTTAACGTGGCCATGGTTGGAAGTTTTCGTCTCATTTTCCTCTGGCCGCGCATACAGACTGTAATATACGAGTCTACCAGATGGCATTTATTTCTCTAAGCTGAACTGTGTGGATTTGGTGGTTGACGCCGCGGCGGGGTGTGTGGACCAGGCGGGTGATGTGTCACCAGAATGTCTCTGATGGATCTGCCCCTGCCGCGCTGCTGTCACCTGAGCACCTCTGTTTCCCGGCTGCGCCCACGTCTTCTGCCTCACCCGGTCCTCTACCCTGTTGGGTCTCTCACCTAGGCACTTAGGGTCATGGTGCCTGCAGCTCATCGCAGGTGTCAGGAGGGACATCTGAAAGGCCACCTTGCAGAGCATCACAAACACACTACACATTTTTTTAGAGACAGGTCTCGCTTTGTTGCTCAGCTGGAGTGCAGTGGCGCAATCTGGGCTCACTGCAGCCTCGACCTCCTGGGCTCAAGTGATCTTCCTGCTTCAGCTTCCTTAGTAGCTGGGACTACAAGCGTGTGCCACTGCGCCCAGCCAATTAAAAAATTTTTTTTTGTAGAGATAGGGTCTTGCTATGTTGCCCAGGCTCATCTCAAACTCCTGGCCTCAAGCGATCCCCCCACCTCGGCCTCCCAAAGTGTTGGGATTACAGGCGTGAGCCACCGCGCCCGGCCCTGTCTGTGTCTTGCTGGACTCACTGAGTGGGCAGCCCCTTCCCTTACTATTCCAGGGGCTGCCCTGCAGAAGCCACCTCCTCTAGAGGTACAGCAATTTCCATAAAAAGATTGACTTGTTTTGGCCCGAAGTTTGTCTT